GTCCTTGCAGCTCGGGCGCTGCGCGGGCGGCATGGGCTAAGGGCGGCCATGGTGCGCCGTGATCGCCTGCGCAGGTGGGTGTATGCTGCGGCCGCGCTGGGGGGTGTGGCTGTTCGGGCGGCCAAAGGGACCCGGGACCGGCTCGTGGGGGCTCCACCGTGGGGGTCCCGTGGAGTGGGTGGTGGACAGGACTCGGGGCGCTTTCCCATGGGCTTTGCCCTGCAAGGCAGCGTCTGCAGCTTTCGGTCAGCTGGTCAGAACTCAGTGTGATCCCGGTGCAATTTAGGGTTTCTAGACCCGGGTATCATCAGTTCTGGGTCGATTTAGGATCTCTAGACCTTGGAAGTCGCCTTGGCATGACTTAGGGCTGCTTCTCGACCTCAGTGTCACCTGCCCTGGCGTGCTTTAGAATTTCTAGACTCCCTAGACACCCTGCCGCCCGATGCAATTTAGGATTTCTCAACCGTTATCATAGTCTTGGCGGGATTTCGGGTTTCTAGACCTAAATGTCTCCCGCCCTGGTAGGATTTTGGGTTTCTAGATCTCAGTATCGCCTGCCCAGGCAGGATTTCGGGTTTCTAAACCCAGGCATTGCCCTGGCCTGAGTTATGGGTGTGATTAGAAATTTCAAAAACCGTGTCACCCAGGCGTGTTTTTCAGATTTCATAACGGGAAGGCGATGTGGCCGTTACCCGGCTCGCCGTGGTGCGCCGAAACAGTGGGTGTGCGAAGTAGCTCAATCTCGCAGCCGTGCCCGCCTTGGGGTCGGCAGCCTTGATGGGTTTAGCGAAGTGTCTTTTTCGCGTTCACAAGACAAAAGCAATCAAGGCGGAGAGGTTTTTATAATTCCAGGAGGTTTGTTGCAGGGGTTTGCTGAATGTATTCTCTTGACTTTTGGCTCACCAAATCATAGAGATTTTGATCCAAAAATGTTTGAACCGTTTTGCTTACCACTAGATTGCGTCTTTACTAAAAACCCTAAATCTGTTTAGGGGTGTGTACAGAGGTGATTAAGACCGCCAACGGTGACCACTTGGCTGGGTGTGAAGGAGAGGAGAGACTTGAAGGGTTGAGTAGAGCACACAGCTTGCCCCCGGGGCCGGGGTCCCCCAGCCCCTGCGGAGCCCCTGCCCACTTCTCTGCTGAGTCACTGCGGGTCCTCCACTGCGGGAAAGTCTAGATGCCGAGGAGCAGTGAAATGGGAATGAATGAACAGCAGCAGTAGATAGAGAAAATGAGATTCTGAATCGAATGCTTTTTGTCATCTCGCCTTTGCTGGCAGAATTGGTGTGTAGCCTGCTGCTAGTGTGGGTGAATAGCGTCGGGATACTTTAACACTTGGGTATTGCAACATTCTAATACTTTTTAGTATTACCTTGAAAGGTATGACCAAACTCAGTGTTTCTGTTTTATGCAGTCAGCTGGGGGGTGGGGGGGGGAAGCCCCCCAGTGATGCCTAAAAAATAGGCAGAGATGCTGTGACATTATAGATACATTCTGTTTAGTTACAAAACTGTGAGAGTTGGAGTGTGACCAGTGGGGCTTGTGGCCAGCGTACAGGTAACATGATGGGAAAGGTACCGATGAAGTCACAAAGTGATTGCCAGAGCTGTCAGTTCTCTGTTTTTATGAACAGGTGTTTTTTTTGTTGTTGTTGTTTTCCTTAACAACTCTTAATTTTAATTTTGGAGGGTATTCTGTCTATTCTGGAGTCGAGGTGTGGTGGCGCTGTAAGATAAGCATTGGACTGCTAACCACAAACCCACAGGCTACTCCTCGGAAACGCAATACAGGGTCATTATGAATCAGAACCGACTCAACTGCACTTAACAAAGACTATTGATCACGCTGTCTCTGGTGAGCACAGGCACTGATAGACTGCAGAGAAAGGGGCTGATTTGGAATTCCTGGTCAGCAGCAGTCTTCCTTGTTGTGGGCGCGTGGACTTGGACCTTTGCTGCCTGGAGCGTGGGATGGTTGGGTGTACAAACCCGCATTCTCTTCTCATGTCCCTCCAAAGACAAAACCAATCCCCAGGGACAATAGATGAGCTGATTCCTTATTTAGCTCTTTTTTGGGGAAGGTTGGGGAAGGAAAGGGCAGTGGGGGAACCACCAAAAGTACATGGGAACTTCCTCAAAATCCTGCTAGGAAAAGCTGTTCTGACTTCTCAAGAGATGAGACTTTTATGATGAAAATGTCGTAAGGGTTATGACAAAGTTGCTTACCTGAGACTGCCCAGAACTGCCCCCTTTCCACATTCACAGCTGCTTAAAAGTTCCACATCCAGGGCTTCACTTGGGCCAGAGGGTTGAAGGTATGAAAAAGGGAAGTCCTCTGTTGAAGGAGCTGTGATGTTAATACATATGGCGCGCGCGCGCGCGCACACACACACACACACACGCATTTTTAAAAACCCCAAAACAAAGCATTTTACCAGTGGGGGCCAGTGTGGAGATGATAGAACTCCATCTAGAGTTAGAGTAAGTATTCAGGAAATGATTTTCTTTTTCCCTGGGAAA